GTTACATGCTGTCTGGAGACGTAGAAAAAGAAATGCGATTCTCTTCATGTTACAGGAATAACAGAACACACAGACAGCGGGGTTGGGGGGGGGGGTGGTCCTGCTGCAGCTGAGCCAAAGCTGGTACTGGTGTTTTACACCAAACCGGTACAGGACAGCGAGAACAGCTGATCAACCATATGAGGTACCCCTCCACAAAAGGACTTTATTGTGTGATTGGCCAGAAGTTCGTGGGAGTGTTTGTTTGTGCTGAAAGCGCTCAGACACTGTATTTTACTTCAACTACTTGCTTAAAAAATGGTGGAATCTGACTGATGAAAATTTAGGAGCTTAATCCGGGACCAGTTTGTGGATGAATAACGTCACGTGACGAGTCTCTGGCATTTTTTCTGCATTGGACTCCACCGGGAAGAAATTCCGTGCATACTGCCTGCTGTTCTCTACGTCAGAACTATTTTTCGGCAAATGTGTTTCCATCTCTCCTTTTGCGCATTAACTCTATTGCAGGATGGGGGAAATTGGCCTTGGTGGAGGTTTGCACTCTCCGAGTGATTTTAGTTTTTACTTCTATTTTTTTTTCATAAYAAATCTATAACATGTTTACAGTGAAATAATGACATATATACAAGTATAATCTACTCATTCATATTTCAATAAAGGAAAATATGAAATCAACTCCAACTGTTTCATTTGTAAGGTATATTATAAAACAATAGTTGGTGACCGATAAAGTTTATTATCATATCATCAAGATCACTGTGTAAACTGCTGAGCTGCAGTCGGGTCAGCCATCTTCTTAAATGACGAGGGCTGATGTAAAAGTTTTCTGTACAATACAAACAAATCACAATTTCAGCCTGATGATACAAAAAAGACAAACATTTTTGAACAATTAATAGGTTGCCTTCAGGCCCAGGCCACTCTTGCAAAAGAGATCTGCAATCTCACTGGGATTTGCCTGCTTAAATAATGGTGAATGAATGAATGAATGAATGAATGAATCTTCGCTGAACAACCGAGGGGTCCAGGCCATCTCCATGGTTATTGAATGATACACAAGAGGAAAACCATCTGGAAATTAACTTGTTATCTTGTGATAACGACACAATTAACTCGTTATCATGACATAACGAAAGAAATATGTCATCTTGACAAAACCATGGGAAAAAATTACTTGGGGAAAACAGTCGCTTTTGGCTTCCTTACAAAACTAACTTTAACAAATTGATATATCTTTTCACACACACTCAGATACAAGTGCACTTACAGTATGAGAGAAAACCCACAAAAAACTCTCCCCCCAACACACACACCAACAGTTTTTAACTTCCACGGCAGCACATGAGGGAATCTGTCCAGAATCTTTATCCCACAGGAACTATGCCTGTTCATCACTAATTTGGTTCAGTCATAATATAAACCTTTTATTGCAGCTTTAGTATAACAAATGTTCTTTTTTTGTTTGCTTTTTTTCTGATCCTTTGCTCACAATTCATTCTGTGGCAGCAAAATGACCAACGATATACCGTTAATTAATGTCCTGTATCTTACATGGTGATGAGGAGAGACAACAGGTACCTGCCATGAGAGATGCTACAGAAGAGAAAGAGCTTGCTGCTGACATGAAACTCGGATCAAGAGTGAACTGTTGTGAAACTATTCAGTGAGAAACAGGCTTTTTAAGAAAATCGCATTTACAAATTAGCAAATTAGCGAATCTTATCTGTAAGAGCGATGTTACATTTTTTTAGCTTATTCAGATTAAACTTTTCCACAGTAAGAAAAGAGGCTTCTCTCCAGGCATTCCTTCCAAACAAAACATACTTGTTAAGTCTTGTCCTAACAGTACTGTCACAAACTTTAACATTTAACATGCTAACTGAGGCTTGAGAGAGTATGAGCTGTAGCTCCTGGGTTTTATGCAATTCTCTGAGCTGTACATGATCTGACCTTTAAGGGGGRTTTGCAAGAATGTTCACACAATTTGTTAAAAAATGGACTTAATATGTCAAATGAATGTTCTTTTTTCTCATATCCTAATTAACTGAAATTTGTTTTTTACGTACCTAAGATACTTTTTATTTTAAACCAAACAATCTCAGATTATTTGGGAATACAAAAAAAAAAAACATTTGCAATACATCAGTTGGCTAAAACAGCTAACAGGAAGCAATGTGACACCAACTCAATGAACATTTTCATGCAATTTATGTATGAGAAGAATTGAAACATCAAACAACTAGAATTTGGAATGTAAAGTGTAAAGTTCATGATAGAATGTATATGCATCAAGTGTCTTACCTGGTCATGATGCTCAATGCCCATGCTGATGGTATTTATGAGAATAGCGATCATGATGCCTCTGCTGAAGTACTTGCTCTCCACAATGCCCCAAAGTTTCCTCCTTATATTTGTCCAAAGAGCCTTACAATGTCCAAAACATGTCCTCCTCTTCTTCCTTTTCCCATCTTCCTTCTCCTCTAAGTGGTCCTCCTCTTTGTCTGTTTCCTTCACAGCATCCCCTTCGCTGTCTTCCCCTTTAGCTGAATTTCCCACAGTCCTGGCTCCTTCTTTCAAAGATAATGCACAGATAGGACAGTCCTCAGGGTTCTCTGGGACAGACAGACTGATGGAGTTGGTCTGTGTCTGTGAGCTGTGATCACTTTTGCTGTGGTGTGGACATTTGGTTGCTGCAGGGGCACCAGTAATAAAAACATAAAGGTCTGTTAGTTTTCAAATCAAATGCTTTTTTTTTCCAATAAGTGGGAAAAAATTAGGGCACACTTGTTGCAAAGTTTAAAATGATTTTCTAAAGAATCTTCTTGAAACCCTTGAAGTGTGAAGTAACTGGGGATCAAATCAATTTCTATTTAATTTTACACCTAGCACTGTGTGAACATCACTGTCCAAAGATGGCAATTTATTCAGCTTAGACGTTTCCACAGTTCTATGAATATAACACATGGAAAAAGATATTCCTACTCACGTCGTGGCTGCCTGAAATGATGCTGCTCTCCATTAACGTTCCCCACRCCTCTCCTGTTCCCCCTGCCTGCAATAGCCGGCGGGGGCTTGCCCCTTAGAGTGTAGTAGAGGGCTGTTGACCTCCTCTTCGCCTTGCGAAGGACGTGGCAGATGAGCTGGAAGATCTCTTCGTAACAATCTCCTGGCTCAGTCATGCTGGCCAAGGTGGAGGAGGACAGGCACTGTGCCCTCTGCTCCTGCATCAGCTGGTGTTCCCGCTGTTTGGTCTCTGAGAACTGGGTGGCGATAACCACCAGGCACAGGTTGATCATGAAGAATGAACCAATCTGCATGAAAGGACAAAGAGAAACAAACAAGATTATGCCTGTCTGAATAATCAGCCTGTGGCCAAAGCAGATGTTGCTCATTTCAAAAACATGAAAAACGTAAGAATTTCCAATTTTTTAAATGGCAGAGACATGCTTGTTTGTACAACAAGCTCGCACACATGCTGACTCTATTAACGTCTTCCAATTCCCCATGAGAAAYACTGCACACATGCTAAAGGTTTCTAAGGTCTGGCCTTCTACCAAACCAAAGCTGATTGGAGCAGAAAGACAGAGAGAGCACATGCTGAAAGCACAGTTCAGCCTCTCTCTCTCTCTCTCTCTCTCTCTCTCTCTCTGTAGGTCTTTCAAAATAAACAGTAAGGTGTGAAAATTGAAAATGCTTATCTGAGTTTAGGTACTTGTAGTGTCTTTAAACGTTTATTTTAAAAAAGTGATAGATTTGTTAAAATGTTTGCAGACAAATTAACTAACCAGAAAATCATTGAGTAACTATTGAAACAAGAAACCAGTAAATGACTAATGAACACATTTCTCTTAAGACTTTTTTGGTAAAGTGATGATGTTTAAAGTGGATCTTCAAGTAGACYAGACACATCATGATTTAAAATTTTTTCCACATTTAAATCATTCAGTTGTAGTTTATATAGAACTGCAATGCTTTTGTCTGAATTTCTTATTATTGTAACTCCACAAGCCCCTCTTTCATCTCTGTTCTGAGATSTGTCTCAGATCAACTCATTTTGGTATGGTTTCACATARGGTCTTTGGGTTGGGGTCCGTGGTTAGGAACCAGGAATGGTTAATTTTAGGTAGTGAGGTCAGGGATAAGATGTTTGGGGCTAATAGAAGTTAAGTTTACAGTTTGGGACTGTTAGTTGTCGTGTATTTTCTATATTTTTCCAAAATATGACAACCGGCTCCTCCTCCTTGTTCTCATCTCATCAATAACTGATGTGAGGGGGTTACCYGACACATCAAAACCAGATGCAGAAGGAACCTGGACCAAGCGTCAAACACAACTGCTTTAAACTTTTAMTTTTTACACAGCCAGATTTAAATTTAAACTACATTCATTTCTTGCGCTTCGTCTGTTATTWCAAGCAATAAAAAAATCTCTGGTCTGCCCCACAATGCATCTTGGTATAGGCTGTGCTGAGAAGGATTTACCAGTCTCTCGAATCGGGCAAAAAAGAGGATGCATTTGTGGGCTGCAAATCAGAATCAGAATCAGAAGCGTTTTATTGTCATTCACACACAACATCAAGATGCCGTGCAGAACGCAATGCAGTTTAGAACATCCGTCCGGCGAAACACACACACATGACAAACATGGAGGAATGGATGTCCAGGGTCCTTTGCAACTTAGTGCGCTACCTTTGTAGTTTAGAACGCACACACAATAGGAAGGGTGAGTTAAAAAAAAGAGCTTTGATCCTGTGTTTTATGCAGAAAACACACAAACATACACTGAAAAATGACTCTGCAAAAACAGTGCAATCAGCCAAGGACAGGAGGGGGGTGGGGGGTCAAAACACATGGTATGGGGAAGGGATGCAACGGAGCCGGTGACTTCCAAGGCAGACTTCGTGCTGGAACCGATCAGAGACCTCCAGAGTCCAAACCAGTTGTCATCGGTCAAAGCACAAGTCACCAGAGTTCAGTTCTCTGTTTCCACCCAACGCGGCCTTCAGACTGATCCAAGCACGGATGGAACAGGGGATGGGAGGGGAGTGGGGTCAAAGGCTTTCTTCTCACGTGTCATTCCAGGGAGGTTTTATCAGCTTGCGTCYGAGGTCACAGCTGCTGGAATCCAATAATAAACATAATTGTTTAGGGCAAGCAGCCCGTTTTCACTGCTTTAAGTCTTAACAGCGTCTCTGTGTTGTGAAAAATGCCAATATTCCAGATTTGTTTACCACCTCGCCTCTCCTGTTTGAAAATTCACTCAGGTGTARCCTCACTCCTCACAGGCACACTGCTAAGCTGTGATCCTCATTAGAACCACATCCAGTCTGCGACTTATATCCCCCAGCATTTGAGTCTGTGCATTTGCAGAATGGGAAATCCCATCCAAGGTCCTTGACAGCTTTTCACAGGCCCGGACTGCAGTCAGGATCRTTTTCATTTTCCAATAAACCAGGACTCCTCCACAGCCGATCAGCAGGAATCCGATTATCATAAATCCAAATATAAACCCATCTTTGACATCTTCAATGGAAAGTGAGGCCAGGCAGACTAGATTCCACCTCCAGGATCCAGAAACTCTGCCTGCAGCCACGGTTCCACTGGGACAGTTGTGCTCCACTCGCTCCAAACTCAGTGTGGAAAAAAATAGTGTTGATTGCATTCAGAGATCAKTTGACCAGATCCATAATTCTTTTGTTGTTGAATTATAGGTAGAAGAAAGGCTTGATCCAGCAGCAAAGCAGGGAAAAAGGTAGGTTCGGGAGAGAGAGAGCAAAAAGCGTCCGACTCCTCTGAAGGCCAAGCAGAAAATAAATAAATAAATAAATAAATAAATAAATAAATAAATAAATAAATAAATAAATAAATAAATAAATAGAGGAGTCTTGAAATTTGTACAGCCTTCACTGCAGCACAGTGACGTAAAAGACCAAATAAATTAGTCCTTCGAAGGATGCAGCACCTAAATTAGGACACAGCCTATATTTTATATTTTTATGTTTCTTTTATTGTCTTAACTTGACTTACTGTACAGCACTTTGGTTTCCCTTGTGGTTTTTAAAACGTGCTCTATAAATAAAGTTGATTGATTGATTGATTGATTGATTGATTGATTGATTGATTGATTGATTGATTGATTTTGGCTGAGCTAACAAAGTTAGCTTCTCAGCAGGAAGCCTGATTGGCTTGATAGAGGAGGTGAAAATGCTGAAACTAATGGTGCAGGAAAGAGACAAGAAAATAACCGAATTGGAGAAAAGAGTGGACGATCTGGAACAGTATTCAATCAGAGAAAACATAACTGGACTAAAGATAAAAATTCAGTTGTATACTCGGTTGCACTACAGTGAGTACCTAGTTACTTTGCTTTACTCTTGGTGAGTCTCTGGAGCCAGGGTGGGAATTTATGGAAATGGACCAGATCTGAGTTATGTTTGGTAAACTCTACATATCTGTAAATAAATRTTCAAGTCTGAGAATTGAACCCATCTCCTGGCTGCACATAATTTGGTCTCTCAATTGAACATGATCTTTTACAGCCTAAAGCTTCAGCATCTGACCGGACAGTACGCGGTCATGTGGTTGTTTGGTGTTCGTTTTCTCACACACATTTCATAGCCCCTCAGACACAACATGCTGAGCTCCTGGGAAACCCCTCCTGCTGTGGTAAACACTACCACACAGGGTTTCTTCCTGCTGGAGTTTACAGTGTGGAAAAAAAAAATCAGAGACGCATTACTCTATGTTATTTGTRAACAGATCTGTCCCAGTCTGTTTTATCTCTGTTCAGGAGTTTTTGACAGTTTGACAATCTTTATAAACGTCTGCTTCTGGAAGCGAGTCGTGTTTTTTTTAAGCAAGTGGTTGAAGTAAAATGGAGCGTCCAACTCCCACAAACTTCTGACCAATCAAACAATAAGTTCTTGTGTGGAGGGGGGTAAAACGTTCGGCCAACGGGTTGTGGCAAGTAGGTGCCGAAATTTCAACAATGCGAACAAAATGATGCAACTTTCATCACGAAACTGCAAGAATCCGAATTTGGCAGTTTGGCTGCAGCATACTGTGTGCTTTACGTTTGAGCCAGTGTCTGACCAAGAGCAAGAGGAGAATGAAGATGACAAACCTGATGAACCACAAATTCAGCAAAATTAGTAAGCCAGAAGTCCATAATCTTGTTTAGCAATTTTGCAGCAAATACTGTGATGTTATTGTTAAAAATATGTTATAGGGAATAAAGAAAACTCAACGGACTGAAAAATATGATTTAAACAGAATATAAACATATTAAACCAACTTTTATGCACTCCTAGCAACTCCAAGTACACAAGAAAATGTGTTTAAGGGATAAAAAATGGATTTTTGCATGACATGTCCTCTTTAGCACAACTTCAATCTGAAAAAAAAAATCAGCGGTTCATTAAAATCACTTTACGCCACCATCAATTTCACATCATATTTGTTTGGGTTGAAATATATGGATGKTACTGCTGAATAATGCTGACCAATCTGATCCGAACCATCTTTTTAGCAAGCACTTCTTCAGTTGTCAGTACCTTTGTGTTATTTGGCACATTCGTTTGAGCAATGACTGCTGAAATAGCTTTTATACTAATCTGAGTATGTTACGGAACAACAGTTGGATCAATAAGAACTAATGCAGAAAGACAAAAAAAAAGTCAAATGAAGAGGGTGTTTAGCACAGTCTTGGCTTGTCTTTTACAATCTGAAATAATTTCTTTCTGCTACGGGAACCTTTACAGACTCCTATCAACAGATTCAACGGGAACACACACATTTATGTTTGAACTATTTGGAGTATAAATCCTCAATGAAAAACTCGCAGCCACAAAATTCCAAACCTAATGGCCTTCTACCTTTAGACTTTCATCCACAGTGATCAAAGATGTACAGCGAGGCAAAGGGGAGAGTGAGCAACTCAGAGACATTTAATGGCAAGACAGATAGAAAAAAAGCAAACATATCGAAGGGAGGGAGGAGAGATACCCATCTGTGGTGTGTGGGTCAAAGCAGGTCTGCAGGTGTGTGAGGCTTTGATTTCCCTCCAGGCTTGCATCTGTGTAAATGTCTAGCCTGTGATTCTGATCAGTGGACAGCTTTACGCATAATCAGTGGGGGCAGTCAAATATCACGTCATCGGATGATCAGCGTATTATGCATGCAGTCAAATACAACACATATACACAAATACACACACAGATTGTACACAATTTAGGATGCTGAGCCCATCTTTCAGCAGACTGGGTATACAGGCTTCATTGCTGCAGCTGTCACAGATATTGGTGTCTAATTTT